CACTCTGCAATGCAACATGCTACAGTTCCTCTTCAAAATATGAGTTCTTGTTCCGAGATCTCGGTTGTCTCCTCCCACGGATTTTTGCGGTGATAGCAGTGGTACACCTGTTTTCGAATTTGTCACAAATTGCGCCAAACTTGCATCAGTTGCATCCTGTCGGTATTAATTTTTTACCGCACCTCTCTCCTCTTTCCTTTCGACCCGTTGGGGGGGGGGGTTGGCTCCCGTTCCGTGTACGCTTCCTGTTCTGCCGTGCTAAGGAAAAACGCCGTATGAGCCTTCAGGTGTTGCCAAATTTCCGCTGGTAAATCAAGAATTTCCGGAAAAATTTGTAAATATTTTTCCTCCAATTTTTCAGGTAATTCTGTTCGCAATTTTACCTAAAGTTCTTGAAAATTTCTTGGAGAAATATTCCTAACTTTCCTCAAAAATAAACATTTTATCGAAGGAAATTTGGCAATTCTCGAATTTTCATACGGCGTTTTTCCTCAGCACGGCTGGTGTCCTCAGTGAAGCGAGTTATATTTTAATTGGTTTCCCGTGTCCCGTGTAAGCCCAGCCACCGTAATTTGCGAATTTTTGCGTAGAACCCTAAAGTTTCCCCTTGCGAAATCGGATTTTATCGAGAAAATGGCGACGCTGCTTTCGAGAGCAGATCGTGTTGTTGCCGAATTCAGCATAAAAATGAGTGAAAACTGACTTTCTCTTGTCGGGAAATAAATATTATCATGGTCTTAGTGGCAGCGTTTGCACATTGTGATGATGCGAAACCTTGAGACGTGGAGCGCTCTGCAGCTCGTAATTAATTTTCGCCACCGCGTTGAAAGTTGCTGCCGCCAAATCTGCTGCGCCGATGAAAAACGCCGTAAGAGCCACAGGACATTGCCAAATTTAGTTCGATAAAATACGATTTTTCGGGAAAAATTTTGGATATTTTTCTTTCGCACCTTCTCAAAGAATTTTTTTCGCAATTTAATTGAAAGTATTAGAAAATTTCAAGGAAAAATATTCATAACTTTTTTCGAAAATACATTTTTAGTCGGGAGAAACCTGGCAACATTCGAGTGCTCATACGGCGATTTTCTTTAGGACGGTAGAAATGGACGTATTTATGCTAAAAGGAACTATGTGCATAGGGTTTGCGTGTAACATAGTTCCATTTAGCATAAATATGTCAAAATTTGCCCCTGGCCGGGCACTTTTTGCAGATGATCGAGAATTTTCGGGACGCATCAATAAGGAATTCTCTTTTCACCTGACTGATTTCAAGTCGTTTCAAGAGCATTAATTTCATCTCGAGTTTTGAAAAAGTCATTAGGAAACGCCGCGATTTGTTAATACTGGAGAGTTGCCTCCGCGCGTTGGTCGTGATTTTTCTTTTTTGGTAGAACTACCTACGTGTTCTTAGTCACCAAAGTTACGTCATACTATTTAGTACGTTAGATCCCATTTCATGGAAGTTCGTAATTTTAGAACTTTAAAATTTTCAACCCTCCTCCAACCCGCTTATAAAGTTTGAGAATTTATGGTCCGAGCTCTGCATGAATGCACATTTTGAAACACATTTTTTCGAATAAGTAGCTCAGAGTTCGTCCTTTCCCACACTAAGGAACGTAACTTCATTTTGAAGTTGCAACATTTTTTCCAGTGTAGCATAAACCAAAAAATCAAAATACAGCGGTGACACTCCCTGGGCGGAAAAATTTCTCACTACGCACTCCTGATGAAGATTCATCTTAAACTGCGCGTTAGACGCCATACGCTGGATTCCCGGAGTTCAATATACATAATCACAGCCAGTGCTGAATGTTCAAACTCTCGTAAGGCTCGGTTTAAAATTTTCTACCCCCACCTTGCTCACAAAGTTTGAGCATCTGTGTTCCATCCTGGGCCGATATCTGCGTTGCTTCGAGCGCCCAATCGCAATCTCTAATCAAGTAAAAAGCCCTCGGGCCTCGCAGGAGGCGAATCCCATATCTGCGAGCTAATTGGATGTTCTCTGATGAGTTGAAATGAGCCGCTCCGAGCATTGAAATGAGATTATCCGTTCAGACTGCTTTCTTACCTATTCAAGCGTTTCCCTTTTCTACCTTGAGTGAGTGCCTCCGAAGACGGTTTCCGTTTAGGTAGGTATAAAAAGCTCAAATCCCTTTTTTCTCAATTAAAGGATGGAAATTCGATTAAGGGTAAAGTTTAACTGATGAATTCAACGAGGATTCCGAAAGTTTAAACACGCGTTTCTCACTCTAAAGTATGAAAACATAGGAGAAACGTGTGAAGCATAACGACCAAGGCCTTGTCTCCGCGAGATGTTTCACGGGATTTGTCCCTGGGAAAAATCCCACTTACGAAGTTACGAAAAGTATTGAGTTAATCAATATTTTTCCCAGTACCAAGTATGGTCCTTGTACCTCTAGGACCCACTGAGAGAGGAAGAAGAAGGGAAAACGAACCGTGCGATATTTTATTCATTACTCCATTGTTAATGTTGGTTTAGTTAGAATAATGTGTCTGATTGTCAATTGAGTGCAATTCGTATTTTAATCCCGGTTAAATACTCGACTTTGACTAATTTATCTTCCCGCGCAACTTAGTCCCAGGACTGTGTGAGCCCCGTCCCGTGGAGACGGTAACTGGAGAAAATCCCAGAAGTTTCATTCCTGCGATTCGAACTTGGGACAAACCCCATGAAAACGTCCCGTGGAGACAAGGCCTAAGGCAAGAAGCACTTCGGGGGGTCAAGTAAAAAACGGATTAACATGATCAGGGGTCGTTTATGAAATACATATAACACTAAATTTCGGATTTTTCGACTCCCTCCATCATTTAGCGCTTATGTGACATAGGTTTCTATCTACGTGAAGACAAAATTATGTAAAGCTCTCCTCGGCTCCCCTCCCCTAGAGTGTTCCGTATTATATGAACGGCCCCTTACATGACATTTTTATAGACTCTTATGTCGATGAGAAGAAACCTCGGAAAAATTTCAATTAACTGGATTTCCTCTCTCGAGACTAAATAAGTATGCTGGAAAAGCTGCAACATCGCAATGAAAGAAATATGTTCACGAGGCGAATAATTGTGTGAAATTTTATGTTTTATTTTTTTCCGAATCGAGAATAATATTTTAAAAAAAGTCTTATTCTGATCTACGTCTTAAAAAGATGAATTATCGTAGCGGGAATGCTTAAAAATTCTAAGTTTGCCATGAAAGAATGTCAGAGTTTGTCACATGTGTCGTCCTCTAATTCCTTCAAATTTTTCCGAATATCTCTCAAGGTTTCGTTCAGCTTGTTTTCTTATGATTCCCCTGAAATCTACTCCTTACAGACATCAGTGTTGATAATTGACATTGGTGAGATGGCAAAAGTGCAAATGACGACTTATGCATCATAATACAACTCACATTTTAATCTATGTTAAAAATACGTTGATATTTCGTTCAAGAGTTGATTTTTGAATTTTCCGTTCTGTGAATAGGTTTCTTCGTAAGATTTGAAGAGATACGTGACCTCTTTTTAAGTTCAGACTTTGTATAGTTATTCATTGGGATAAGAGATTCCATACACCATTGACAGCCATCGATATTCATCGCGACTTTTAATTTTAAATAGATATGGCAACGTGGCCTTCAGGTTTAAAGAACGCTTCATTCTCTCGCTGTTCGTCCCTTAAAGATTTGAAAAGCAGGCTTTACATCTTCACGAAATCAAATCACACCTAAATGTTCTATCCGAGGAAATGGAAGAGGGAAGAAAGGCGCCATTTTGGAGCGTATTTTTACAGGTCCGTTCGGGGAGAGTACGAGAAAATATGGGGGAGAGAGCGAGGAAGGGGTGGCAGGGGAGGAGGTGAAAGAGAGAAAGCAGATGGATATTACTGGCAGGAGTGAAAGCAGAATCTAATTTAAATTTTGTTACTTTTCACGTTTCACGGGAAATAAATGAAATAAATGCGTGCGGTTTATCGCTGAGCCCTTACTCTGCCGTGCTAAGGAAAAACACCGTATGAGCCCTCAGGCGTTGCCAAATTTCCTTAGACGAATCTTTAATTTTCAGGAAATTCGTGAATATTTTTCTTCCAATTTCTCAGATGATTTTGTGTGTAATTTGATCTAAAGTGTCTGAAAACTTAAAGGGAAAATATTCATATCTTTCCTCCAAAATAAACATTTTATCGGAGAAAATAGGGCAACTCTCGAATGTTCATACGGCTTTCTTCCCTAGCACGGCAGTGCTTTGAGGCACATCTGAAAAAAAAATTCGCCTCTTTTTATTCTCTCCAGCCTGTCGGGACCTATTTTTCAAATCCTTACGTAAATGATTAAGAGCTAATCTTGAAGTAAATGCATACTTCCGAATTTAAAGAGCGATTTTGTTACCATTATTAAATTAAGAGCGTATTTCTATTAAAGTTTTTTTTAAAAATATTCTTAGCCTTGGCTGATAGTTACAATTACATAGTTTTAATTTTCACATCCCATAAATAAATTGTGAGTAGTCCCTTGAGTTTTGAAACCAAAGGAATCGGACGACTCGAAATTTTAGTATACGGGGCCTGAAGAATTGGAACAATTGAGCAGTTTCTTTCAAAATGTGCAGAAAATCTGAAAGAAAGTGCCAAAAAACGGAAAAATTGAATTCGAGTGAATGATGCATTTTTGAGTTTCAAAGATGTTTCTTCTCATCAAGAGTCCTAGATTGCAGTATCGAAGCGTGAATGATCGATTAATGATAGTTCCCCCATTTAAAGCTGTGGTAAAGAATCGATTATTAAGGTGCACGTTGCGAACACCCCGTTTATCGATCCTTTTCCATAGGTTTAAATGACAACTAAATCGATAAACCCGCAAAGCACGCCAGGCCATAGATTGCATGTTCAATTGTTCATGGATGTAGATGAAATAGGGGATATGTCATGATACAGAGGGTTATCGGTACAACAAACTTAATTATTTAAACGATGCTGATTAAAGTCTTTAAGGTGTTTATACAAACCTAAAGTTTCTCATCGGTCGATATTGGAAAGATTTTAAGACTGGGATGTCCTTCAAAAAAGTATGCAGAGAAACAACCCGTTTTGAGCTCCGAACAACTATCTGCAACAGAGAGTGAAAATAACATGAAGCACAAGCTTAAAACAGCACATTTCGTTTCCATGCGAAAATTACGTGACAAAGGACATGATCCACTTCTTTGTCTACACAGTGAAAAAAAACTTCGTGCATGGGACCCGAAGTTGAGGTCTAATGGATCTCTGAAGTTTTCGGATCTCGCATCCGAAAACTTGAGGTCCACCTGCCGAAGTTCGGGTCAGACGTCTGAAGTACTTAGGAACATACCAAAGGGTTCGGGTCAGACGTCTGAAGTACTTAGGAACATACCAAAGGGTTCGGGTCAGACGTTTGAAGTACTTAAGAACATACCGAAGGGTTCGGGTCACACATCTGAAGTATCCGGTACATACCTAAGTACTTCAGATGTCTGACCCGAACCTCGGCGCATAGACCTCAAGTTTTTGGATGCGAGATCCGAAAACTTCAGCTCACACTGGAAAAAAAAAAAAAAACACATTTTATCTAGAGTCCAGACTCTTGAAAACATTGAAAAGAAAAAGGACTCTTGATTCAATCAGATTTAAGCTTAAATCAAAAGGAAATCCGCTCAAATTAAGAGTCTTAGTTCTTGATTTAAGCTTATATCTGATTGAATCAAGAGTATTTTTTCTTGTCGATGTTTTTAAGAGTCTGGACTCTAGATCCAATGTGTTCTTTTCCAGTGCAGTTGAGTTCTTCCAAGAAATGTTACTGTAAGTTTGAAGAACAAAAACAAATTTTGCCCTCGGCTGGTTTTCAGGGATTTCGATTGAGACCCAAAACTTCGACTTTCGCCCTCGGGTGATTTTTGGGAACAACGGCGAAAATACACTTGAATCAAGCCACCTCTTCCTCTCGGCAGCCAACAAGCGGTTCTGAAAATCCACTAATTGTCGGTTGAGAGTTGCGGGCTCACTATTGAGTTAGAATGATTAAATCCCCACCTAACCTTAATTTAGCGTATGAACCGCGAAAATTTCGAAGTTCCCAATTTTCGCCGAAAGTTTTGATTTAGAGCGCTGTCGGAAGCGCGCCACTTACGCCCTCTCTTTGATTCCCCCTGGTCCCCCCTTCCCCCTTCGTCCCCCGGTGCCGCCACCCCCTACATCTTCCTTCCGCCCTCCCCCGCGCCGCAGCGCGATCTTGGAGCGGACGATTAAATATCATCCCGAAAGTTTTAATATCAATTCGTCGCTCCTGGAACGCTACGAGTATTTCAGTGGCGTGGCGTGCTTTGCGATGTATCGATTGTTATGTCATTTAAACCTATGGAAAAGGATCGATAGTCAGGGTGCTCGTAGCGATCACCTTGGTAACCGATTCTTTACCGTAGGTTTAAACGGCAGAACAGCGATATATCGCAAAGCACGCCGCGCCACTGGAGTATTTCGTAATAAATTTGACCTTTTTCCGGAAGTTACGAGAGGGGATTGTTTACCCGGGATTAGCTCAGCATGCGGTGCCCTGAAAGTTTGATGCACACTGCACTTTAAGCAATTTCGATGCTTTGCCATTATTTGTGCGATTCTGACGCCTACATGTTGGGAGTAATGGAGGGTGCTTACTCCGCAAGTTTACCTTCAAATGAGCGCAGTGTCGCCAGACTGTGCTGAAAATTCAGCGCATTTCCTCATGTAACCAAACGTATAATATCCAGGGGTTTTCGCACAATCTGGCAACTTTGAATGAGCGAGTACGATAAAAAGCAAATTTTATTTAAAGTTCCGAACCTCGTTGGGAAGTTCTGTCCCAAATTGTCTCATCAATCACCAACACCAGTGGTCACCGTTGTTACCAGATTCGACCAATCAGAAACGTTGGTCTTCGATAGGTCGGACCTTTTCTAGAACCACCTTGCGAGATGGTGCCAAAATCACGCACCAACGTTGCGATTCGTAAGTTACCGAATCGGAAGTTCCGAACTCAAATAAAATAACAGCTCGGAGGTTTGGACACAAACGTAGTACCGCACCACTGAATAAAAATCGCTCACAAAGAGAACAACTGAGATTGAACAATAAAATTTTTTGTTTATGATGTGTTCTATGGTCGTCGCTCCTTCAACGTAAGGGCGTATATGCATTTATACGTGAGCCCCGGAAATCATAGAGTTATATGGAGAACATGGCGGCTCACGTGGTAATCGAGATACGCCCTTGCGTTTGAAAAGTAATATTGTATCAATACATCCTGTTAGATGAAATGAGAAGCTTGGCAACAAGGCTCATAAGGGCAGTTTTTCACTGAAAAAAAAATCTCGGTGTATTTACTAAGAAAAGGGTAAAATTACCAAGGATTCAGGGTTCTATTTGATCCCAGTTTTTTCTTGGTAATTATGGAATTGGTAATTTTACCGAGAAATCTCGGTAAAATTATTGTATACCAATAAAAGCGGTATTCTTACCTGAAAAAAAAAACAGTGAAAATACCGGTTTTTAGATAAGCTTACCAGTCTGTCTTGGTAAAATTACCAATAATTGGTAAAAAAAGTGAGATGGTAAAGGTACCAACGGACCTTGGTAAAAACGCCGAGAATTGTTTTTCAATGCGGAGGTTCGGACACAAAAGTAGTACCGAACCACTGAATAAAAATCGCTCACAAAGAGAACAACTGAGATTGAACAATAAATTTTTTTGTTTATGATGTGTTCTATGGTCGTCGCTCCTCCAACGTAAGGGCGTATATGCATTTCTACGTGAGCCCCGGAAATCATAGAGTTATATGGAGAACATGGCGGCTCACGTGGTAATCAAGATAGGCCCTTGCGTTTGAAAAGTAATATTGTATCAATACATCCTGTTAAATTAAATGAGTAGCTTGGACAACAAAGCTCATCAGTGCAGTTTTGGAAAAAATTGAGATAATAATGATTTTCAAGTAAAACTAATCTTAATGCAAATTCTGTGAAAAATTCACATCCAACTTTCAAGTTTTAAGCACGAAAAAGAAGGGTTGAACTTTCTTTCCGCCATAAGAATACATGTAATTTCAAAACTTCAAGAACGTATTTCTCGAAATGGCAAAAACTGCACTCATGCGCCTTTGTCCTCCAAGCCTCGAAAATAGGACAACTAACCAAGTTGCTGATCGTCGTAATTAATTAACCAAGTAATTATAGTCGGAGTCTTATTTTAAAAGTTTTGGAGAATAAGGACTGTATCGATGACTAAAGAGCGAAACTAGATGTAGCTTGTATTGTCTGTGTTAGAACGTTACCACATGTTTTATTCTTGAATTTTTTACTTAAAAAATCTGCTCTACAATTACATACTTTTTTCATGATTATTTTTAATTTTACTCTCTGCCAAAATTTCCCTCTGGATCCACGTGCGAGAGATTTGCATGGCGCTAGGAAAATAATTCAGACCTACACTAATTATACTTATCGATTAAAATCAACGACCTCACTTGCAACTATTTGGCTTTTCACAAATCCACGATTACAAAATTGCAGAACGTGTTTGGAAAAACGCCAGTGTCTAAGTACATTAGATTTACACCGATGCTTCGGAGAAATGTTGTGCCGCACGTGGATTGAATGGCTGTTTCAAGGCTCCTTTAATGTTTTCAGCGATGTAATGAAGGTATAAGCATCTTTTGTTGCCTCACTGCCTCATGGCAATTAGAAACGAACACTTTTAATCTTCACCATTTGCAGTTTTCTTCAATAAGGGTTAGGAGGAAAAAAGCCCAGGATGATTTTATAACTTTTCTATCCGTAAAATTAAGCTAACGAAAACATTTTAAGAAAAAGCATATCGAGTACCTGCAATTTATTGGACTGAATTCCATTCTGCAGTGAGGAACAACGATTTCTGGCTTACCCATGAAAGCATCGATCCTCATAGAGGAACTAATGCCTCATTAGCTTTCTGAAATAAGCTAGAAATAGTGATTCCTGATTGCAAATTGTACAGTCCAACTCATGATGCTCCTGATGAAAGGCAAGCATTATTCGAACTATTTATGATGAAGGGAATTATTTACGAAATAATTAAAGTAATAAGAGCTATGTGCACAAATATGCAGGCTAAATGGTTCCTCTTGATGCAATTCATTTGCACAGAGTTGCACATCAGCATAAAGACGTCTATTTCGAAATTATTTCCATTTATAGAATTTTGTTCCATACTTGTTACGTATTTCTTGTAATCAGATTTCGATATCAATATTAAAACGCTTAAAACTCTAAAAGAGTGTAAACAGTTTAAAATTCTCGTCGTTTTTAAAATCTGTATTTCTCCCGGGTATATTTTAAACACCAAAAACAAAACGACGCTCGTTTAGGCCGCTAGCGTTACACCTCAGACTCTGTCCAACGAAAATTGCAACTTGCAAGTGTTTAATCAACGTTTTTCGTAAAATCGAATGCCATCGAAAACGCCTTCAATTCATTGAATAGGCGCACCGAGCTCCCCGGAGGTCGAATAGTGGTATCACGCCATTCAGCAAATATCTTAGGATTCCGTATTATAAACGTATTTCGTATTATTCCTAGTTTTTTGATGCCGTGTCAGGGAAAAATACCACACGTGCCTTCGGACATTATTTCTCTCGATAAAAAATGAATTTACTGGGAAAATTGTGAATACCTCTCTGAAAATATGTCGAATAGTTTTATTCGCAATGTTATCGAAAATACTTGTACCTGAAAAGTTGGAGGAATAATATGCATTACTTTCCTTAAAAATTAACAGTTTTTTGGAGACAACTTGGTAATTATTGAAGGTTTATACAACGTCTCCCTTAGCACGGCAGTTTGGGTGATTTTTTTGGCAGTTAAAAAATCAATTAACTTTCATTCACTATCAATTAGTTTTCTAAGAAATGCGTAAATTCTTAGTAAAAATTTGGTAATGTGTAGATGTAGTTTCACGCACATAGAATGGCGAAAAGGTTATGGGAAAAGGTCATTGAAAAAGGATACAGTGAGAATCCGCCTGTTACCGCCGTAGTTCAAAGGATTTTAGCGTAAAGCGACGGAGATAAAAACGCCTTCAAT